AACCGATGTGAAGATGAATGACTTAGAAACTAGCTGTATTTCTTGTACTTTAAACTCTGATAAATAATACTTTCATTATTTTAGAACTAGTTAGCATTTGAGATTGTTTATGTGCTCTATATTTTCAGACCTCTGTCACGTTTACAGCATTAAGCGAGCAAGATAAAAGTTTGATTTTATTAGTACTGGGATTAGAGAACATTTACCAACAAGTACTGAATACTGTCAGATTTAAAATCTTAAATTTGCCTTTATTTTTTTATTCTCATTTCTAAATTATATTTGTAAGATCGCCCATAATCGTTTTCGGTCATTGACTATAGGTGACCGGTTAGAAATTTCATTTCAAAACTCTTAATGTATCCCCAATCTGGGTGAAATCATTAATTGTACCAAAGGCTGTTGGTATTATGAGATTTATGATTGTGTGAGTTTGATTAATTTGATTAATATTGGTTTTTGTTCTTTTTAATCGAAATTAAAGTTAGTGAAGCTCAGTTATGCCTAGTAAGTTCAGAGAGGCGTATTTCCTTTAGAATACACAAAAAAAAACAATTAACTAATTATCAACAAATTCAGAACAAAATAAAACCCATCTTTAGTACGATAATAGTTATACATGAATAGTTCTGTTTTCTGAAGAATTCATCGTTTGGAAAAAAACTAAACAGAAAATTTTCAGGTTTCTATAGTAGTTTTTCTATGAGGCTTGGAATAAATCACTTGGCTTTCTATTCATAAAAATGCATTCAAATACTGTCACCTTAAATAAAATAATTGTAAGACATTAGTTAATTTTCATATGAGGTTACATAGACTTAAGTTAGAAAGTGGTCAGATTTTCGGTCTCTTTAGTCCAATCTGACAATGAATGTTGGTTAGAAAATCTTATTGGTTTTTTCTGTCTATACTATGTGTGGTGAGATACATTGGACCTTAGCAGCTGAAGAGGGTAAAGTGAGTTTGTCGAATAATCATTAGGATATGCATTGATATTCACCCCTCATTGGCTGAATATTAGTTGTTATTGAAAATCGGTATTTTTAAATCTTAATGTAAACATCTTGTAATCGACGTCGTAAATTCCACTACCGGAGACTGTTAGGTATAAACTCCTCCCTATTTGCGAAATAATACCTCACAAAACTTTGAAATGTACAATAGGAAAAAAATACACAAGTAACCGTATAAATTTACTTTGTTGTTAGTCTGAAAACAATATGCAACTCAAAATGAATACAAAGGATTACGACTGATAAAACTTTCTTCCCAGGTTTCATGAAACCTCAGTAATAAGCAACTATCAGATCTGTCAAGATCAAAAATGAAATGTTTAATCACTGTAGCAAAGATTCTGTCATCATACTACTATTTAACTGCATTCTGCAACATTGACATTATTATATAGCATGATCGCCCGCTGGACTGACCATTTAAATCAGGTGAATATAAGGTAACTAAAGTTACCAGTTGGGCAAAAACATTCTTAGAAAATGACGATCATCAGTTTTCAAACCATTATTACAAGATTAAAGAATTTAGCAAATAATATGTATGTATTAAGTTTAATCCTTGAATTACAAAAGGGGATAATTGATTTCGTCATAAGTTATTTGTTAGATAATTAATATCGTATAATTCATGTTTCATTCATACATTTATATTAAAATCGAATACAAATACTTCATGGAGAATTATTTTAAAGATTATCACTTGCTACCAGTATATCAGAGTAAAACATAAATCATTTTATTACATACGACTTTATACAGTTATAAATCATAAACATTGTGTAAATAACGTTCGTATGACAAAGTAAATCAATTCTATAGTTGAATAAGGTTGTAATCCCTATATAGATTTGTGGCAGATACTGACTAGCAAATCAGTTTAAACTATTTGCGATTTAGCGAATAAACGAACTTAATGTGATAACAGAATACTTGATGCTGAAAAACACATCACTCAGTATATTGTGAGCTGACTAAAATTGAAGTAACTATGTAATTTGATCTACTAATCCGATTATTTACATATTCAGCAAAACACCATATAAAAACATTTTCAGACCTAAAGATAAAGATAGAATGATATGTTTTAGATGGTAAATTAGATATTTTTCCAATATATGTGCGAACTAACGTTTTAAATGGTGTAAAGTATATATATATAATTTATTTGCACAAGACTATGACCTTCAGATACAAAATATGTTGCGTCATAACCAACACCAAATATTATGATCTGTTTATAGCTTAACAAATTGTTTCCATCCAGTTTGGTTTTTAACTGTTAAGTGCAATTAATTTCACCAAATGAAATGAGAAATGGAAAATTAAAACAAGGATGCAATTACTTCCAATAAATGTTTTTCAAGCATAGTATTTTTATGTCTTTGTGATATAAAAAGAACACTTAAAATTCATATAATTTAGCCTTAGACTAGTATGAAACTGTGAAGTCAACGATAGCCATAGAAATTAACAGAAATTGCTTTTTCCAACAACTTTAATTGAAAAACTGAATATACGAACATCGTTAATAGTGAAAATTTTCATTTCACCTCAACTTGTAAATATGCTTGATGTGGTATTGTATCTATAAAGTTTTTAATTTATGCACTGTTTAAAACAAAGTCAATTTATTCACCCTTTTCTCTTTCTTAGTCAATTACACCGCATTAATTCAAATACTTAAACTTATGTTGATATTTTAGTGATAAGACTTCCGTTCTGGCTAGTGACTTTCAGATTCTATTGAATGATATAACAGAAACCTGAATAACTCTGATGATACAAGCCAATGTTACTCAAGAAATCAAATAATTTTAATAATAACAACGATGAAAACAGTCGGATGGATAAGCGTTACTCCATAATTTAAGCAGTAGACAAAAACATCACTACATATGCACGAGGGAAAATTATTATAACACCGTATTGCACTAAAGCAGAAACCTAACACAAAAGAAATTTTTGTGGAAAGTCACAAGGTTTTACAAAATTAAAGTTAACAAGTATTATTAAATCGAAAGTTGTGATTATTTTTCACTAGGGAACTAAATAACTTTATGCATGAGCCACACAAAATTAAGTTTGTAAAACATTTTGTTAATTTATTTATATAAGTCGTTGCATGTGAGGAAGACTTGGAGCAAACAAACTGAAGTGAATTCATTTTATCCCAGGATGTTTATTTTCCTTACTTTGCCAGAGTTTGTCAAGGAAGCTTACTTCATGAAATAATCGAGTAATTTAAGGTATATGCATCATTTTAAATTAGGAATTTTGATATTTTATCTAAATATGACGATTTAAACGGAAAAATATGTGAATCTAAAGTGTCTATAAGGAAAAAATAATCGCAAACGACAGTAAGTATAAGCCATGCGAAATCAGAGAGAAACGTTTACTCATTCATGATGCTGCCTACCACTCATTCAGTCATTCTTAACTAGCCACTTTAAACAATTGATTATCAGCATTCAACATCATTAATTGAGGAATAAGTTGAACTTCAAGAAGGAATGCCTTACAATTATTAGTGAATAAATGGTGACTACATTAAGATGAACTTTGAAAAGAAACGCATGGATTTTAAAAAAAAAGGGAATTCTCAGTGTTTTAAAATTAACAGGTCAACTTAGCTGGTTTGTTTATGAAAGAAACTAAATTGATAGGTGCTATTGGTTCGAATATTAATTTATTTTCTAATCGAATTTAATTCACTCATAAATTAATAAACATTTAAAACAAGAAACAGTATATCTCTTCTGAGTTGTATGAACAAAGAATAACATAATATTTGGTCATATATAAGAAAGTCCCATCAATATCTATTGTAAATTAGTTCTAAAAGCAAAGGAAATTACCTTAGAGTTGAAATCTTTATTTTATTTTCAATAAGACTTCTGAATTATTTTTGTTATCCTTGCAAAATTCTTGGTTTTAAACTGATTAACTTACATGCATAACCAAATAATCTAAACTTTTTTAAAATTATCACCCATTGACTTAGTTCCCTTTTAACCAGTTTCTTTTATTTAATTATATCAAATTATCAAAATATCTTAATTGGAAAACAGCCCATAACAAGACCATTGTGTCAATAAAATGAAAATGAACTAAATCAATGGTTGTCCTTGGTAACATCTAGAAGATAGCCATCACAAAAGTGAGTGAATGAACTTTCTATGTTAATGATATATCTAATGAGCAGAGTAATTAAAAAAGAAATTTACCTAAGAAAACTTAATCATGTAAACTTTATGTGTCTACGTTAATATTACTTAAATTAGTTTTCCATAATTAAATACAATTATGATAAAATTAATAATAATGTTGTTATTTTGACATTTTCTGTTATACTTTTAAACTATAACTCTTATAATAAGTTAGTTTGAAAAAAAGAACATCAATTTCAACTTCATTGTTTAATAATCAACAGTGAAAAAGGGAGAGCGAATAATGACATGATCCTGAGTTCAGTCGTTAAATTACTTAAATATTCAAAATTAATTTGAAGTATAATCGGAAAATTATTCTCCAGTGTAATAAGATATTAATAAATTGTTTCTGGTGTGTTCAAATTTAAGAGTATAGTGAACGATATGTAAATCTATAGAGGTTTAAAGATTATAAATATGGTCAATAAGCTTGTTCTATACGATATGTTATATTAGTTTCAGATCCAACCGACCATATAGTATGGTAGGAGAATATTCATTGTCATAAGGTAATTTGCATAAAAAATCTCTACCGAAAAGTCACCATTATGTAGATGGAATTGAATCAGCCTCATATACACATGTAGAATACCTCCTTGCATTTTTAAAAAAATATTTTGCCACTAGTTTCCTATATGAATTTTTAATGCTCTTGACATTGAGTTGCTTAAGGTCATTTATTTATCTTACTCAGAGCAAAATTATTTGCACGAAAAATCATCAAATAGGAAATGAATGTTATTCTATATGATTACAACAGTGAAAAAATTCAATACAACCTTAATTCATATAACCTGATAATCCACAACGATAAGAAAAAGCCTCAGTACACAATACTAAAATGTGTATTACATCATCTACCAACAAGTGGCGATTATTTAGTTTTTTACAATCGTTATTTTATTTCTTTTCAATAATCCTTTCAACGTAAAATGATAGATAAATCCTGTTCCATACATAAAAGTCAGCATAGATATCAATAAAATAGTAAACAATATTTAAAGTATATCACATGGACAAGTGATTAAAAAAAAACATTTGAAAAGTTTTAGTTACAATATATAGCAAGTTTCTGTAAAATGTTAAACGTGATGTTAAAATTATACTTTCCATTTGAAATACTTTAGTTTTAATTTGATTCTCATATGTAATAGCATTTACCATTAAAGTATAACAGGTTTACACTAATTAACAAGTGGAAATATGTATAAACTTATCAAAATGATGTAAGTTATCAAATGAAGCAAAAAATCAAGAAAAGAACAGATAATGGGAAACATGATTTATGTATTTAATTAATTTTAAACAGGAACAAATATTTGGTGATTGACATGTTCTCGTTCATTCAGTTATATACTTGTTTCCATAATATTTCAACACAATTGGATTGATGAGTGTCATGATGTGAAGAAGCTAAAGAAAACTTATTATTTTATGATAAGCATCTGTTATCCCATGAATAATTGAATACTGCTATTTCAGTCAGACACTAAGTTCATAAATGACAACTTTCATTCGGTATCAACAAGCTAATAGCTCGATATTCTGATATTTATTCTATTAAGACTGGAGTATCAGTTCCATAAACAAAATATCAGTTCAACCATCTCAATTATTCCATTAGACTATCAAATACATTGAGTCATTCTTTTCAATGTATATTGTCAGCCATCACGACGTCTCCGACTATACGTTTTTGCAACTTGTACAGCGAAAGGTTGTAAACTTTCCACAAACACATCTGAATAGGTTATACAATTAATTGACATAATGATCTGTTAAAACAAATAAGGAAACAGATAAATTGTTGAAATATCTAGATGATAGGAACAGGTAGCCCAGATATTCAAGCAGGTCGCCTAAGTGTCGGGTGATGTAACACTATCTGTTGCAACAAACAGACATAGAAAATCGCAGTTATTACCTTTCCTCTAACTCGTATACAACAATAGGGAGCTGATTTGTTATCTCCTAGATGTTCATACTACATTGTATTGTATAAAAGTGATTACAAACTAATTTTTCAATACTTCAAGATGCAACTAATCAAAGTATTTGTTCTCATCTATATTATGAAGTTAGATGGACAGTATTGCCATTTTCAAAAATATGATTAGGAGACTCGTATGTAAAGTTTCTGACATTTATTTTACCACTGCTCATAATGAATTTTCTGCAACTTGACAGAATGTTTTGTCATTGACATTTAATTGTATGCTAAGATGTCCCACATCATGACTGAATATATATTCAAACATACACTTTCACAACCAAATCATGTAAATCCCAAAAGCAATCGTTGTATGACCAGATATATTAAACAATCAGATAATGGCAAACAGACATGTACGTTTGGTTTTTGTTATCCACATCTTATTTTAACCAGTGCGATTCTCAAATTCCACCGCTTGAAATCCGGCGTGTTTCTTGTGAACTGGAACATCATGAGGTCTACCATGGCAGTCTTTTTGTTAAATAACGCGGTAGTAAATCTAAACAACCAGTTGAAAACCAATTGCTTATTTCATAAGTACTATTCTTCCCGACAGGCAACTGGCTTGTGGAAGTAATGATGTTCGTTTATCCTTGATTTAAAGAAAAAAATTATTCAATCAAACAATTCAGCGAGTTGATTTTAGCATTACCACACACAAATGTAAACCTGAAATATACAGAAAACTAAAACACATTAGACCGCTGCTCCCACTTACTTCAAGCATTCGGCTATTTCCGAATGTCAAAGCAAGCCCTTTCTTTCATGACAACTCTTAACATTTCACAACTTATAATGCTGATAATAATAAGAAAAGTTCAATCAACCACACAACCAGTTGGGCAAGCTCATTAAGTAAAATTTATTTGTACGGTTAACTAATAGAAACCTAATCATTTCCTACAATGAAAAGCTCTCCTTTAAAAGTCGGACAATAAACAAACACTAATTTAAAAGAGACTACGAATAACCCAATATAATGTAAACACCTATTCACTGATAAAACTAGCTTACTCTCTATATTAATCAAGAAAAATTATTTGTTTATATAACTCCTTTGTAATTTATTTTAGAATACTTGATTATGTATGAAAATAAAAATGATAGCACCCATGGAAAAAATAATCTTTCATCTGATTAGGTTAAAAACCATAAGTCCAAGAATTTGATTTTATTAAACACACAAGATCGAACAAATACTAACATCAAGTTTTTAAAAAAAGTTTTTCCCTGAGCAAATGATCAAGTCTTTAGATAGAGTATAACAGAATATGCTATTTACAATACGTATTTAAAGTCATACGAAAAGTGAGGGTTTTTAATCTGAATTTGTAAAGCTGTTTGGTTAAATTTTAAAGTCCAACTCAAAAATAAGTTTCTTAATCACTCCAATCAGGGTCTATTGCGTTTGTTGGACACTTCAATGTTGATGCAAAATGAGATATCTTACTAGACTTCTGTGGACTATTCGTGCTTGTCTGAGATTCTGGCTGATCTGTTTCATCTACATCTGGAACACACTGAGGAATAAAAGTAAAAATATGAAATAGTTTATCAGTAAACAGTTTAGAAAGTTGCTGCGATAAAACAGAGAAGTGAAACACACGATGTGCAAAAATAATTGGGATACTGCAACGGACGTCAACGGCATTTTAACCAAACTTCTGAAAACGAACACACGATAGAATTCAAGTACTGTGCATCTCCAAAAATATGAACTATTGGGCTGCAAACTACTGCATAGTTTATGAAGCACATGAAGTGAAAAGCATTGACAAAACTAACAATCGATAACAGATGCTTCTAACAACCAGTTCTCCTTCGTACTGAAAACATACCTATGTGATAGGAATTTTATAAATTAAGTTTGGTTACGTTTGACTTGGGAAAAGGATAATCAATTCATATATATATATAGAAAACATGAAAGTGAGACAGCAATTACCTGCAAACTGAAAATTAATATTGCGCATTATTCATAAATCTGATAACTAGGCAATTTTTAGTTATTGTATTACGGTATACTGATCCCCAAGTCTTAGCTTAATTACTAATGAGCACGTTTAATTATCACGTGAATAAAAAGTATGCATGTTACCATAGTCACGTCATTTGAAAATCATCATAATTCAGAGTACACTTTCATATTCAGTTCTGATCACAACCCTTGAAATGAACTGATGTACGAAATGGACTGCCATATTGTTCGAAAATGTGCGATCCCACTAATTACACATACAAGTTATGATACGACTTGAAATGTATTACAAAATCGAAACAAGTAAGAGTTATGATTTATTTTGTATGGTCGGATTATCATCAGCTCGAAAATTCAAATGTTTTACGTTTTTGAAAAATATAAACAATCTTTATCCTTATTGATTTCTTAAAAACTTAAACAATTTTTATTCGCTGCATCCATGTGTACTTGTCTGTTGTCAATTACTAAGATTCAATTATTCAGTCTTGTCAACATATACATGTCTTTGATGTTTCAATAAGGACTTAATATAGATTTTGATCATGTTTATGATTATGATTAGCAGAGAAATTCAGGTTGCTATTTGTTTTTTTTGGGGGGGACTTGTCAGCTGGATGTTCCCACAAAGAAATAGAATACATAGATATATGCTTGGTGAATGAGCGGGAAGACTTGAACCAATGCTATTCATCCCACTAAAACCTAAATCTACAGATCATCGGGTAGTGTTATGCACTAAGCTAATCAGTCAAAAATGCCATTACTTGTTCGATGCTTTGGTGTCAAACTTTGGTGAGGAGTGAATTCAAGTTTCAGTAAGAACACAAAAACTGTTATCTAAGTGCGTCTATTTGACAGGTCCTAAATGGAAAAGAACGTCAGTCATGGACTCTACTCCTAGCAATTTTTTGAAAATACACAACCAGGAACAATTCGGTATCATTTTGATCACTTTACCATTCACTTGACAATACTCGGTAATGACAATAACTTCATTCAGAAACAACTTTTGTCCATCAAGATACAACCTTTTTCAAATAAATAATAAGTAATAGAAATTAAATAATTTTGAGTGGTATTTTGATATTGTGCTACAACTATGCATGTAATCTTATTCTATTTCATCGAATGTTTATAATCAGTTGAGTATCAGTACTTTCTATTTACAATCAATGCTAAGTATAATAATTTAAAAAATACAAGATAAAATGATAACTCGTTTCCAGTTTGGAAGAAAGTTACGAACATTTGCTCCGGTTATCATTTTGTTTTCAGATACAGATGAATCACCATACTCTGTATGTATTATAAATCCGTGTTTAGTCATTTAACAGCAACTGAGCAATGTAGTTATAAAAAGGTTCGTACTTTATCTTATAGCATAGAAAGTGGTTTCAGTCTGATTAAAATGTGATCATTGTCAAAAACCTAATTACTCTAACAAGAGATGTGAAAATGCAAGTTTAAGATGAAAGGTTAGTTCGAAATTATTGACCACATCTGAAAAAGAACAAAAAGTGTGGTAATCGTGCAGCTGTTGACTTATATCGATTGAGGAGACACAAGAATAAGAAAATACAAAAACACGATATGTTACTAATTATTGTTCTGAATAATTTTGTTATTATTGAAAACAAATACCAGTAAAAAATAGATACGAAAACAATTATGCGCCACACAAATAAGAAAGTGAAATTGTGAAGAGGCAGATGAAGGAGGGAGAGTATAGTCGAAATAAGTAGACAGATAAAAATAAGTGAACCAGAATAGTTCATAATGGGAAATTTAGTTTGGTTTTAAAAAATATACCCATAAGAAATTTCCTTCCGCTTAAGTAGGTCACGAAAAGGAAACTGCAGAAGGACTTTATTGACTTCCCTTCCAGCACACACACGATAGTTTCCCTAACCTCTGAGTTATACTAACTCTTGAACACTAACAAAGAAGTCGTGATGGACAGACAGATGCCAGTCCTATACAACTCTTCACTTTTTCTACCCAGTCAAGCAGACCACACACCAGTGGGAGATCGCTAAGGTGACATCCGTAACGCGTGTCCAAGGCACCAGTCGGTGTTTCCAGATGGTGACAGAAACTGAATGTTAGTCACTACACCCGAACACATTAACGAACTTCGGGATTTCGAACACGGGGTTGAAACTAGACTTCAACAATCCTTCAGAGACAATGATCACCAAACACATAACTGCCAAACACCTCAACTCAGTGACCATGGCTAAAAAGCAAGGAACAAGATTGCTCCAACCGATAAGTTGTAAACCCTATTTTTTACATCCAGGTTAACATTGTGACAGTGCCGATGATAAACCAGATTGCCATAAGCTCGTCTCAATTTACGTAAACTGGTCTTATCAGCTACGCCACCACCAGAACTTAAACCGCTACCCAAATACACTAACTTCTCGACTACTCCTAACGTCTCACTGCAAAGAGTGAGTGAAGTCACAGAATCCCGAGTTTTGTAAAAGCACTTTCTATTTAGAAGGTACAAAGTACATGCCATACGTACGAACACTGACTGCCAACTTATTAAGTAATCTGTATAGCTTGAGTATTATTGCACGGTAAGGCAATGGCCATTCACATACTTCAGATAGGAAAGTCTTTCTCTAGGTAAAAGGTCGATACCACCATTACTTCTGTTACAGTTGTTTCAGGAAAATCATCGATGGCAAAGTCGAGGAGAAATGGTGCGACATAGCAGCTCTCCTTAGCCACCACTTCTAATAAGAACAGAGAAAGGTGGTTGTACGCCCTCACATTGCCCGAAATGTTTGTGCACAAAGCCTTCAATATCTTGAGAAAGTTCGCAGATAAACCCTTCTGCAACAGAAAATGACAGGGGAGAGCCCCGTACAACGAATAAAAGATGTCTTTGATGTCATGGTGCTCTGACATTCGGCGGAGGGTGATCAATACATATAAGGCCAGAACGAAGACCAGTCTACTTTTAGCGAGTCAATCTGTCATAGGTTTTGAAAAGCACGTGAAGTATGGAAGAATACCATACAACTGAAGACTTTGTTAAGTGATATAAGTAAAATAGCCTAAAAACGGCAGTCGGGAGCTTTAGGTGATATAAGTTCCAATTATATGCCTTGGCTTAAGTAGATCTACTGCATATGTGACAGTGAAAGTTTTTACCTTATTTTAACTTACTAAGATTCAACTTCAAATTTTGCCGATCTTAGCTTTTCTGATTCTTATTTGATGGGATATAGTAAAGCATGGAGACTGTCTGATACACGTAAGTTTCAAACTAAAATACGAACAAACTACATAGATATCAATAATTTTTAAAATCTTACGAAAAACTCGACAAAAGCAACTTCACCGTCTGAAAGATTTATCATGTACTGGATCGACAAGAATCCCCGGTCATTGATACGCAGCGAAATACGGCTAGCCATTGACAGTGCTCGGCTTGTTGCAAGCCGTAGAAGCGAAAGACGAAATCGAGCTATCCGAGGACTTGCAGCTGCAGATTCAAAAACTTCTACTTGATCAGATGACCGAGGTAAGTCAAAATGCATAGTTCCAGCGAAGCCATACGTCGTTAAACGAAGACGAGACTGAACAGCCGGAGGTGGTATTACAGCAACTTCCAAGACTTCGCTTGAAGTATCGAGTTCATTGAACGCTTCACGCATACATTCTGACTGTAAGAAGTGAGAAGAGAATTAAGAAAAATAGTATACTAATCTACGAGGTTAGCGTAACATTGACTGATCTTTCTTTGAAGTTAACAGCAGGCCAGAAAAGGACAAGATCTTTTTTGTACGGCAAGTTATGATTTGTTGGGGATGTAGCCCAGTGGTAGAGAGGTCACTTAGCATGCGGGAGGTCAGTCAGTCAGTCAGCTACAACGTAGGACCAGGCACATATGTGCATCGGTCCAGGTTGCCATACCTCATTAGCACAGCAAGATGAACAGCGGATTCATAGGAGTGGTTAGGTCAAAGGTTGCAATAAGGATATAGTATAGGAAGAAAGAATTAGTTCGTAGACAGAAAGAATGAAGTGATTTTAGTCTCTTAGTTTAAGGGAAGACAGGGAGTGTATACACCGACGCCATTGTGATCGATTCTGAGCCATGTCACCAAGAGTCTCCAACCATTGGTTACGAAAGTCACGCGGACCCCAACCAAGTAGTCTGCATCTACCAACATGGCTCAGACTACAAGTTAGTGACTTCAAGCAATGATGCCACGTTTTGGTTTGGCCGCCCCTAACTTTCTTCCAACCATCCCCTACCCCGGTTAGCATTGCACGTCGTGGTAATCGGTGTTCAGGCATACGTAACACGTGGCCCAACCATCTCAGTCGATGAAGATTAACAACCTCATCAACTGATTTACCATCCTTCCCCAATACCCTGCGTCTAACCTCGCTATTACTTACCGGGTGATCCCAGCAGACGCCAGCAATATTCCTGAGGCATCTGTGGTCAAATACTAGAAGCTTACGAGTGTCTTCTACTCTTAATGGCCATGTTTCGCTGCCGTAAATTAAAACAGAACGGACTGCCGCGCAGTATATTCGTCCTTTTATTGATAGACGGATATCTCGCCTTCGCCAATGGTGACTTAAGTTGGCAAAAGCCAAACGAGCTTTTCGAATCCGTGCTGAGATTTCGTCCGATACCAGGCCATTAGGACTGATCAGACTTCCAGGATAAGTGAAGTTGTCAACGCGTTCGACTACTTCACTCCCTATCCTTAGTTCAGGTGTTGACGCAGACCAGTCCTGAAGCAACAACTTGCATTTAGAGGGAGAGAAGCACATTCTAAACATTCTGGCATTGTTGCTCAGTGCTACTAAAAGACTCTACATTCTATCAGCGTCTTCACCAAACAGGACTGTGTCATCTGCGTATTCTAAGTCGATAAGTGGACCTCCTGGTAGGAGATCAATACCCGAGAATTCAGTAGACGAGAATGTTATTTCCACCAATAGGTGTATGATGAAGTTAAACAGAAATGGAGAAAGTGGACAGCCTTGACGGACACCACTTGAGGTTGTGAAAGCAGATGACAGTTCGCCATACGCTCTGAGTCGACTGGTAGTGCTCGAGTAAAGAGCCTTCACAAGGCTTATGTACTTCTGGGGTACGCCTTCCAATGACAGACACTGCCACAGAATCTCGCGGTCTACAGAGTCAAATGCTAATTTTAAGTCAAGAAAGACCACCATTGTCGGACGCCGATAAGTATGCCTATGTTCTAGAACCTGACGAATGGTGAATATGTGGTCGATGCAGCCACGACCAGGTCTGAAGCCAGCTTGATTCTCTCGTGTTTGCAGTTCACGAGTCTTAGTTAGGCGTCTGATAATTATCGAGGCTAGTATTTTAGATATTATATTAGTTAAACTAATCCCTCTGTAGTTATCACAGGATGATTTTGACCCTTTCTTATATATTGGGACGATAAGTGATTGCGACCAGTCAGATGGGATAAAGTCTAATTCCCAGATCTTAGCTAAAATATTAGTCAACCTAATCGCTAAAATTGGACCACCATCCTTAAAGACCTGTGGAAGCAATCCATTTGGACCAGCTGCCCTACCTCGTTTCAGATTAGCTATAGCCTTCTCAACTTCAGCAAGAGTTGGGGGACCTACTTCAATGTTCCATTCACACTGTCTGGGAATGGAGGGTAGTTGTAGAGTAGCTGAAGGCCAGCTGAACTGTTCTCTGAAATGTTCCGCCCATCATTCTACACGTCTGGATTGGGAGCGGATGAGAGTGTCGTGTTTCTCCGAAATAGTCTGACTTACACTTGACTTATTAATTCCAGTTCCTTTCATTAGTCTGTAAAGCTGTCTTGTGTTCCCTATAGCCGCAGCCTTTTCCATCTCTTTTGCTTTCATTGCCCACCACTGCTCACGGTCGTTCTTTGACTTTTGCTTAACCTAGATCTGATTTGTTGTCGCTCTTCATCGTGTTCAGAGCCTGATGGGATGAGTTTACGAGAATCCATCAGTGCAATAGACCTAGAGGAAATCCATTGGTTCTTTGTAGCCCTGTGGTTTAAATCACTGATAGATGTCACTGCTGTTTCGACAGCTGTTTGTATAGCTTTTTAAGCAACATCTGGGTCAGCCTCGTTTTCATAACTACCTAAGTGTGACCTCAGTTTTCCCTGAAACCTACTTTTGGTTTTCTCGTTACTCAGTTTTTGCGTCCAGTGAGGCGCAAGCAGATGCGTACCCGTATTAGGGCATGGTCGGAGTCCAAGCAGGTACTCCAGAATGAGCGACTATCTTCTACCGACCCTCTCCAACGATGACTGATGGCAATATGGTCTATTTGAGTCCATCGTTGGTTTGGTGTAAGGGGTCGCCATGTTAGACGATGTCTCTCCTTATGCTTAAAACTTGTTTGCTAAAAATAAACGATTGTCTGAGCACAGTTGCAGCAGACGATCACCATTATCTGTTCGTTGTGCCGGAATACTAAAATACTCACCTAAATGCCTTTCTGTTTGGTTTAAACTACCTATCTGGGCATTAAAGTCACCTGCTACGAGTACTATGTCTGAACGTTTAGCTTTCTGAAGAAGTTCAGATAGCTTTCTGTAAAATTATTATTATTATCATTGTTATTATTTACTACATCATTATTCACCCTCTTTTATTCCTACTCTGTCTATACTTATTTTTTCGACTTATACGGCAGCTCGTCTATTGTGAAAATTCGACTGTATCTAAACGTTCTCGAGTCACTGTCCGGTTGAAAATTGTATGTTACCACCGAATACGAGAACTGAAGCAGTTTTTCTGAAACCACGTGCACCATTCTAAATTGGCTGCCTTCAACGTTCGCACACTTATGCAGGTTGGACAATAGATAGGACTGGCTATGTCCTTGGAAAGTCTTAATATCGATGTTTGCCGTCTATCCCAGACCCGTATTCAAGATTCTAGTGAAGTACTACAAATTCGCTCTCCATCTGTAGCTTCGAAAAGCTTGTTTTATGTGCGCTAAGCGCTAGAGCAGAGGCAGAACTAATCGATTGAATCCCCATTAACAGTCGGTTATGTGCTGTTAGATTAGAAAGTTCCATCAAAGTGAGAAGAAATCGACGTGAAACGATGCCTTTCCGTCATCTCCACCTATGCCCCGACAGATTGCAGCCCGGATGCAATCAAGAATGAATTCTACTACAAGTTAACTGTTCTCCAGAAAGTGCGTTCGACAGATATTGTAATACTATCCGGCGACTTGAATGCTCAGGTCGGGCGCCTAGGCACAGAAGAGAGTCGTTTAGGTGGCCGATGGGGACTTGTTGGTCGCAGGACAGATAACGGGGACCGTCTACTGCAACTGTGCACAGACCACAACCTGTTTCTGGCTAGCGCTAACTTTCGGCACAGTCATCGCCGATGTGCCAGCTGGCTTCCTCCCTCTGCATCTCAAGCCTGGACTCAGATTGATCACATCGCGATCAGCTACCACTGGCGTGGTTGTGTACAAGACTGCCGTTCCTTTTGGAGTACCTATCTGGACTTTGACCATGCCTTGGTCTGCGCCAATCTTACCTTACTTTTCAGTGGACAACGAAGTGACCGCCATCAACGGATTGATGTTAGCAAGCTGGTTGCAACTTCTGTTGCTAGTAAGTATCGAACCAAGCTAGTTTCTAGGCTAGCTACCATTCCACCGAAAAGTATAGATGAGCATTAATTGCTATTGCAAGACGCCATGAAAATGGCGGGTACAGTCAGTTGTGGCTTCGCGAAACGTCCCGCTTATAAGCACTGGGTTTCTTCGGGTTCCTTACAACTCATTGAAGCCCGTCGGTCTACTCCGGGTGACCGTGAGTTTGACCACAAACGAAGGATTTTACGTAAGGAAATTGGGAAAAGCTTGCGTAAGGACCGAGAAGCCTGGTGGTCGGAGCGTGCTAATGAGCTGGAAGCAGCAGCTACATCTGGTAATTACCGGAAGCTCTTCCGACTCATCCGAGCCACTGGCAGCAAGAAATCTGGTGTGAGCGAAACAATCTACGAGGATGACGGGATGCCAATCACTAACATCCATCGACGTCTTGGACGATGGGCGGAATTTTTCAAAGGGCAGTTCAACTGGCCTGCTGCTCCGGCAACATCGGTCAGACTGTCCTGCCATCCATCGCCGGTGACGACTGATCCACCAAATGAGGCGGAAGTTCGCAAGGAACTCCAACTCTTGAAGCGCTACAAACCAACGGAGTTGGTTGGGAGATGGGCCTAAATACCACCAACTATGGCGCTTTATGATAACTAGAAGGAAATATATATTGAGGGAAGTTTATGAGTGTCCAGGTCAGGACATCTCAACAGTCTATGAGACCATTAATTGTTGGTTTCAGCTATGTTCGAAGTTACATGTTTTTGAGATAAGGTCCTCAAAGTAACTATAACCTACGACATGGTGTTACTCCAAGCTCTTCACTTCGAAACTTCACTAGTCACATTCTAGGTTTTACATCGTTCTCATTTTCTGCCACCGTATGTACGATTTCTATTTCTTGTTGATCCCCACTAAGCGCACTTACATTAACACATGTGTTAATGTAAGGTACAAAATTTTGGTATACATCTGTATCAGCAATTACATCTTTTATATACGTTAAAAATGACAGATGACCAGTACTTACAACAGTAATAATATAACATATCAGTTAGCTTAGGACTAACCTTCATTATGAATTTATCTGAGATATTACTGCTTGAAAAATCAAAGTCCAATATTTCAAACGCCTCCATAGTTTTAATGTTGCATTCTGCTACAACTCCGTTTTCTTCTAGTCTGTATACAAATAATAATTTAAAAGTAATTTACAAAATGTTTAAAGCACTCCCGTGAGTTTTATAGGATAAAATGAATGAAACTGATGGTCCTTGAACTGAAGTCCCAAAAATAGAAAGGCAGTCCTGAACGACCTGAAGAAGTACTAGATTCTACTTACAACAAGCACACCAAGGTTTGTCCTAAACGATATTATATCCTTCTTTACAGAGTATTCACGGAAAAGCGCTGAATGCAGAAAAGCGTTTCCTTGAATGCATTTTGAGTCCTCTACTGTCACCTTAATACCATTATTTGTGGCAAATATTGTGGCAAGCTACACACCAAGGATGACGCAATTATCAAAACATACATCGCGAAAATGCACTGCCTTTAATATATTGATGATTATTTTTGCATTATCCATTGCCAGATAGATAAGTGGTCCGTCCATCGTATTACTAGTACAGGTTTTGTCAATAACCGGAAGTTAACAGAGGATACAGTAAAGACAATCAGATCTATGGAGAAAAAAACAAAATGTTGTAACCCATTTAAGCGAATAATGATACATTTCGACCAAAAGCATACAAAAAGTTACAAAATATGAGACACCACATGACAATCTTTTCCCTTTGACTGCTTATTAGACTGATGCAACTGAATTGTTGATACTTTAAACACCAGAGAATACACAACCTAAGACTGTCATAATGAATGTTATGACACTGATTTAAGTGTTTTGATCCATGGGACTGAGGCTTGCTGATAGATGACGCTTTGAATCCAATTAGCCTAAATAAGTACACACATTTTGAAGTTAATAACTGTTTCGCAATTCGCATCCCAAAAACATTTTTTGCGTCCTTCATTTCCAAGTAAGCATAGGTTTATAATACGCAACTGACAGGAATAAGCAGAGGATTTTCTAATTACTAAAGCTAAACCAATTTTTTCTGTCGGTAAGTCGAATTTCTGAACAGTAATTCTGGAACATGTGACGTAGTTCAGTCCAAGTTATTTAAACTTAGGCATAGTTAACACTAGTACAAAAGTGAGTTACAGCTGTAAACGTACTTCCATGTGTTGTCTGATAACCCATACTCACTGAGATCCCTGCAATCATAAATAGGTAATTCTACTACAAAGCTGGATATGTTTCATTGCTAAATCATTAAGTTTGTGGATTCGAATACCAAAGATAGCGCTAAGTACTACTGAAAAAGAATGTGATCATAACCAAATATGAATATATATGTATATATGGTTTTGAACCCCATCGTTAGCTACAATCTATATGAGGGAAAGTGATCAATTTAGTGAAAATGCTGGGAAAATCAAACAATTACATTGATCTGGGGATTCTCATCAAAATGAGATATCCGATTAGCCTTAATTGAAGCCACTCACATATTGACAGGCGGAAATAATAAGGGTGCTAAGACCTCAGAATGTAAATTCTTATACTAATAGGAAATTCTCAGTTTATTCTGCGGGATTACATTATAACGAGCCAAGACCCCAGCAAAGATTGCCATATATGCCAATTGTAATTCACCAGCCTATCAGCAGGCAGGATTTGAAAGTGGTTATGGTCACGTGCATAGCGTAGCACAAGAACATAAATAGTAAAGAATGGATGTCAAAGCTTTGACATACTTCTATTCAGAATCTTCAAATTTGACCATGTATTCGATTGACAATCAAAACAAAGCGATGTCTACGAAAGCATGGTTGTTTAGATGATTTTGGGTAGTAACTTCACATCCTCCGTTTATAAACAAACAGGTAGTGGTAAAAAATGAACGACAACTAGTGAACGATCTAACAAGCATTGTCATATGACAATGCGTAGAAAACATACTTACTGCCAGGAATGATTTTATATGCTTTAAGCCACTTATCTGCCACTCTATAATCGAAAAGTCCTAACTTTTTGTCCATATATTTTTTCCGGAATTTTACAAACAAAAGCTATAATTTGTTCTTTTAGCTAGAAATGTTCTGAATCCTACAATATACGACCATGTGAGTTGTAAAGGTTCTATTAGTATCAAAAAAATCGAGGCGGGTTGTTTTCGAGTAGAGATTATGTTAAATGTCATTGAGCAAAGACTAGTTACACGCCAAACTGCCTTTACCCTTAGGATGCTCAAGTCATTTGATTTTGCTCCATTTTCATAGTTACTGTCCATGTAGAGCAGATAAACGCAATCGCTAGTATAGAATTACCCCATGTTAGGAAACTGTTGTCAGTATATCTTGATAGACATGAGAATTTCAGAGAGGCGCGTAATGCTTGTAGCGGCAAATAAATCCCCAAAATAAATAGTTCTGTAAGTTTTTGACATTGGATGCTGATCACATTAGTTTCAATTGACTCAACTAGCTGAAGGCGCTCGGTCATGCATCCGCACCAGACCACGAGTGAGAACGCCGTGCTCAACAACCCCTGCAACCGCTAGCCAGATTAGATCAGACGATCCTCGATACACTGATAGCCCAACAAATATATCTTCGAACCTCCTCGCTTCTGTCTTTTGATTTCACTTGGTGGGTACGAGTTATATTCGGTGTTACTGGTTAAAGCATTTTCAAGCTCTGAATACTTGTGGCATCTTCATTGGTGAGCCTAACGTGATCTGGTACACCAAATCGTAAACTGTGATTCTGTTAATTTTTGAGATTCTATATATCATTGTCTTATTTTAATATTTTATACATTGTGATATTTGTTTTCCGTTTTTTTCAATATATATTGTTTTCACTCGTTCATTCTCGTGCTTCATATTTCCCTATGATTGAACAGACACCCAAAGTACTTAAGTTAAAGACTATGTCCCCATCTTCGTTCCAACCGATGACCTTCTGGCCATACAACAACGAAGCCTGGTTCTACTACGCAGAAGCCGACTTCTACGAGCACGGCGTGATCGACACACGTGCACAACTCCTCGCAGTAGTCAAGGCACTAACGCGCGAATTCAACAGATACGTAACACCTAATATGTTTATTAGTGATGTTTCGGAACCCTACGAAACACTGAGACGTTCTGTTCTTAAACGCGGAAACCTAACCGATAGACAAATGTTACAACAACTCCCTAATAACATCGACCTGCAACGCGGCTCTGCGACGGACATATTGCAACGAATGAGAGAGGTTATCGGCCAAAGAGCCTTCGTTAATGGCCTATTCAAACAACTTGTCCTATCCAAACTTCCGCAACAGGTGCAGCTGCGCTGGTCTCGTTTCAAGACAACGCCTTAGACGAGCTGGCTGCATCTGCCGACCGCATTTTAGAAATCACGAAATCTAATGCCGAGGTTTTTTCAGTCAAAGAAAAGCCTCAAACGACCTAGAATGACGTTACAGAGTTATGTCATACACTTACACGTTATCTTAAATTTTGTAACGACCAAAAACGGTCGCCCACCCTACGAAGAGGCACTGAACGTGGGCAATCTGTCTCTAGACCACGAGAGACGGATAAGCACAACTGGTGCTGGTATCATAACCAGTATGGAAAGTCCACCAGAAATTGCAGAAAACCCTGCAGTCTCCCAAACTCAAAATCGACCGACACGGAAAACAATTCCGGAAACTTCCAAGCCGGCACACGTTAACGGCAAACGAAGCCGGCGAACATAGCCGTCTGTTGTGCTTCACAGATGTGACAACGAGGGTTCGCTACTTCGTCGATACTGGAGCAGTACTTAGCGTTCTCCCAGCGAATTCTAACGACCAGCTACACGAATCGGTTTTAAATCTACAGGCGGCAAACTACAATTTAGTCATCGATATGCGCGAACGGAGGCTAGTAGACGGAAAAACTAAATTATCTGTTTGCGTATTTGCCTTTTCTCGTTCTAGATTATCTCCAGTCACAATTAAGCATACGACAGACCCAGTATATCAACCATTACTGGATAAGTATCCTGGGATACAACAAACGAAGGCGAAACTACCGTGTGCAACCATCAACGTTTCACATCACATCATGACTACAAGAACACCTGTATTCTCTAAAGCACGAAGACTTGCCTCCGAAAAGCTAAGGTTGGCGAAAAACGAGTTCAATCACACGATACACTTAGGAATCATGCGACCGTCAAATGGCCCATATGCATCTCCGTTGCACATGGTCCCTAAAAGGAACAGCAACGATTGGCGTCCAACTGGTGACTATCGGCGATTGAACGCGAAAACCATTCCCGATCGTTACTCGTTGCCTCACATTCACGATTTGACAGCTACCTTGAAAGGTACAACTGTCTTTTCGAAAATCGACTTGGTTAAAGCGTATAACCAAATCCCTATGGCTACTGATGACATACCGAAAACAGTTATCATAACTCCCTTCGGGCTCTATGAAATTTTGCGAATGCCTTTCGGTCTAAGAAATGCTGCTCAAACATTCCAAAAATTCATAGACGACGTTTTTCGAGGTCTCAACTTCGTACATGCGTATGTTGATGACTGCCTAATCGCACGTTTGGACAGAGAAACACATCTCAAGCATCTGGATCTTGTTTTCGAACGACTACAAAAACATGGCATTACTGTAAACGTTCAGAAATGCCAGTTCGGAACCGACTCGTTAGACTTCCTACGACACACTATCGATGCTCAAGGCATTCGACCTCTTAGGACCAAAGTGGTGGCCATTCTGGATCACCCAGAACTAACCACCATCAAGCAATTACGCACATTTAACGGCGTCGTAAGTTTCTGTAGGCGCTTCATACCGAAATGTTTGTTTACTTATGAAACCTCTAGCTGACCAACTTCGTGGAAATGCGAAATTCATCATACTGGGCGACAACGCGCGAAAAGCATTCTCCACAGTTAAGGAACTTATCGCTCAAGCAACAATCCTTGCCCATCAGGACACTCAAGTACCCATGAGCATCGCAGTAGACGCATCCAACTCAGCAAACGGAGGAGTCCTACAACAATGGGTTAACCACTCCTGGCAACCTTTGGCATTCTTTTCAATACGGTTATTAGACACTGAGTCGAGGTACAGCATATTCGGTAGGGAACTCCTAGCTATGTATTGTGCTGTCCGACATTTTCAATGCTACATCGAAGGTCGTGAATTCACTCTTTCACTGACCATAAACCGCTTACCTTCCCTTTAAGCTCTTCTTCAGACAAGTACTCACCTCGTGAGTCTCGACAATTGGAGTACATTTCGCAGTTTACTTCAGATATCCAACACATTTCTGGAGCAAACAATGTAGTTGCAGCCGCCTTGTCTCGAATAACTTCCTTGAACAGTTTCCAAGGAATCGACCTTCTTAAACTCGCCCAGCGTCAAAAAGAAGACACTGATCTTCAGCACGAGTTACCATCTGCAACCCTCAAGCTACGCATCAAGCAGATGGGAACAGGTAAGAAAACATAACTTTGTGATACATCTACAGGTAGGGATCGCCCAATCATGAAGAAAAATTATCGACGCAACGTCTCCAATACGTTGCAAAAACTTTCGCATCCAGGTGTTCGTGCAACCATCAAGCTCATAGCAGAAGGGTTTTGCTGGCCTGGCATGAATAAAGACGTGAGAGAGTTGGCATGCTCCTGTGTAAGCTGCCAAAATGCTAAGGTTATCAGACACAATAAATGTCCCTTAGGCTCTTTCAAAACTCCCGATGCTCGTTTCGACCATGTTCATCTGGATTTGGCAGGACCTTTACCAGATTCAAATGGATACTCTTAACTCTTAACCTGCGTAGACCGTTTCATCCGATGTCCGGGAGCAGCACTCATTAAGGACATCACTGCTGAAACAGTGGCCCTCACCTTCGGGTAGCAAACTTCGGCTGCCCTTCAACCATCACTACGGATCGTGGACGTTAGTTGGAATCTGAACTTTTCCGTTGTCTGACCACACGTTTAGGAATCACTCGCTTCCGAACGACCGCCTACTACCCACAAGCAAACGGGTTAATGGAACGCTTTCAACGACAACTAAAAGCTTCACTATCAGCTGCAAGCGTTTCACAGTGGACTGGTGCCCTTCCACTCGACTTATTTGGATAAAACTGACATTGGATAGACTACGGCTCAACTTGTTTGTGAAACGACATCTCGACTTCCAGGAGAATTTGTAGACCTTTCATCTTCCTCAATGAATATGGATCAAAACTTCTACACGAACAGGCTTACAAATTCAATGCGTTCAGTTAAACCTGTTTCCACACGACTTCAGTCGACTGATATTTTGCCCAACCTGTCCTACAATGTGATACACACATCTTCGTACGACGCCGTATCCTCGAACCCCTTCATTCCTGGGTTGGTATGACCCTATTACAAAAGTATTGCCAGTGAAGGCGTTTTCAAAATGCGAATACATGTGGCATCTTTAAACTAAGTCGTGAATCCCACTTTAATAAGATATATTATTGGCAACAGCAAAAGTAATACATTTTCAGTTAACATAGCTATTCCTCCTGCTCTATGTTTATGGGTCCTGTTGATCATTGAAAATGTGAAATTTTCATAGTCTAGACCCCATTGTCTACACACTGAGACAACCGCGTTTCTATGATGGTGATTACATTCTATATGGTAGTCTGTCTCTATCTTCTACGCGCGTTTTTTTTTAACAGGACGTTTGATCCTACTGTGTACTTACGCAACAAAAGGTTAGTTCCAAGAAGCATACACAGATCTCACAGTAAATGCTTACAAAAGACTCAGTAAGTCGGATCATAGGTGAGTATGTGTCACGTGCGACACAGATGCTTAAGTTTTGCTGAGCGACCTCGTTGTACTATTGATAAGTCTGCAGAATAAGTAGTCAGCAATCTTGAAAAAATACAGTCCTAAAACGGATAGACAAACAGAGACGCACAATGAATACAAGAAGAGGGATATCGACAGCGCTACTGTCGATGGAGCATATAATAACATTATTGATAACGTGCTGAAAATCAGCATTATCATAACATCGAAGGAAATAGACTCCTACAGCAGACTTGAGCCTCCCAACACAGGATCTGCGGATGCAACGGCGGTTCACAAAAACTCTTTGGGTGATTGTAGCCCCCTTAACAAAGTAAAGAAGAACCAGGTGTCACCGTCTTGGAAGATAAACATCTCAAATATTTTAGGGACATTAACTGGTGATTTGGCAGTACAGTTTACTCCCAAGAATATCCATCCGGTCAGTAAACAGCCTAGGAATCGGAAACGCGCTTCAGTATCCAAACAACAAAGTCTTCAACCCAAACGCACCCGAAAACCTGGGAAAACGATAACGGTTCGCGATGATTCTCTCATAATCATGAACATTAAAGACAGCCCTGACCTCCCCTCAGTTTGCAGGGTAAACATGACAGGATGCACTGGGAAGAGTTAAATAAGAAGCTCGAACTTCCGAAAATGGAGTGTTTGACGGTCACACGGCTCACTCTGGGAAAGGACTCTAAGCATTGAAATCACCCAAGGCTACTTCGTGTAACACTCACTAATTCTACAGACAGAGTATATCCCACTATTTAATCACTTACTGGAATCAAATGGAAATGTAAGAATACTGCCTGTCATACCGTATTTTGAGCGCACTGCATCCGGAATATCCCTAGGGAATCTCACGGGAAGCTTATCCGCTGATGAAATATCATTGCACAAGGTGTATGGGAAATCACGAACCCCGACTCTCTCTACTCGTCTCGGATTCACTCAGATCCTGAATCTAGGGGACTTCAATCTTCCTAAAGCCAATTTCGTGGAACATATTAGGGGTTAAAACTTTACTGAGTCTCAGTTCTTCAACCTCATTGAGGATCAGAGATTATTCGGAAATGTTAAGCCGGCAACTCGTTGGAAAATGTCAGACACCGTCGCGCTTAGACTCAGTATTTGCAAACGAGGAATTCGTAATTGACGACCCTTCAATTCTGGCTCCTTTGAGGAGAAGTGATCACGACGTCATGGCCTTTAGTATAATCAGCAAAACGGAGCTAAGACATCCCATCAACAAAAGGCGCTGGAATTTCAACGGTTGAATGTGTCAGGACAATCCACAGCAGGTGGGTTGAGAAACTCACCTTCAATTTGATGTGGATGCTCGTTTGGATTTCTTGCTGCACACCATCTTATGTGCTACAAAGCAGTCTGTTCCTCAAATGGTTCCAAACGTTACATCAACCTGCAGTCATCAAGAACTGCGCTCTTCGTTTCCTAGGCCACAAAGGAACTTTTGGGCAGTATACAAACTAACTGATAACAACGGCGCGTACAGGCAATATAAAAAACATAAGGAACATATACACAAAGATAATAAGAGAAGACAGGCTTTAGTACCAGATAAATCTTATCGATAAATTTGTCTCCGATCCGAAAAGCTTATACAGTTTCTCTTTGACATGCTGAAACTGGAGTTTCTTATTTGCTAGGTCCCAATGACCCAACCAATAACGACGGTGATGCTGCTAATTTTCTGGCTGAACAACTCTCTAACGTTTCAACCGACCCACATTTACTATATTGATGAAAGCTTCATCTGCAACTGCACAGGGCTTTCTGAAGTGAACCAGAGTTCTGACTTTGTGTAACGGAAACTGCAGCACCTAAAACAGACACCTCTGGTCTGGATATGGTTCATTCTGATATACTGAGGTAAGCAGCTTCAATTCTGGCAACACTGCTCAGAGTTACGTTCTCACACTCGCCTAGTCGAAGCGAATTACCGGAAATTCGGAAGCTGGCTCACATCACATCAATCTTTAATGGAGGTCAACGCGGAGAAACTTCAAGCCACTGACTGGTGGCTCTTCTGTCTATACCTTCCAAAACTATGGAGTCTCTGATATGCAATGGTCCACACGACTATTTATTATCCTTAAACTTGTTTTCATCCCAACAGCATGGTTTCAAGAAGGGTCGTTCTTGTATAATCAACCTACTGACTGCAGTGGACAGATGAACAACCATTCTTGATCGCAAAGCGAAGGTTGACGTCATTTACCTTGACTTCTCAGGAGTTTTCGATAGGGTCATTCAAATATGTCTTATCAATAAGCTCAAATCACTTTTAATTGATTGGCCCACTTCAAATCTAACAAACTGACGTTTAAAGGGTTAACTTCACTTTCTCTCAGGCTATGGAGTGTCCTCGTGGGACCCCCCAGGGGTTGGTACTAGGACCCCTTCTCTTCTTGATTTATATAAACGATCTTCCACAACAGACAACGTCTGACTTGTTACTTTTTGCTGATGATGTGAAAATTTGGAAGGAGATGTGCTACCAAGAGTATACACTGGCAATTCAGGAGGATCTGACTCGACTTCAAAGTTGGGTAGATGATAACGGACTTACCTTTAGCATTTCAATGTGCAAAGTAGTCCATCGGAGACATGTTGCAAACTACAGTTACAACTTTGGAAACTCCTCTTTAGAAGTGTCCCAAGTTGAAAAAGATTTTGGAGTGCTGGTACCCTACGATTTGAAGTCTTACGCTAACTGTGACAAAACTGCCTTTCGAGCTAAACTTGCACTGATAACGGTGAAGCGCATATTTAGGCAGTTTGACGGAAGGACTTTCCACATGATCTTCAACAGTTTCATTATTCCCCATTTAGCGTACGGAAACAGTATTTCCTCCCTCACATCAAAAGGATAAGGACACTCTGGAGCGTATCCAACGGCGAGTCACGAAATCAGTTTGCGTAATCGAATTCAAGCCTTATGAAGAGCGCCTCTAAACACTAAATCTTTACCCCATTGGAGTACATGGGTCTTAGAGGTGATCTTATGATGGCTTACAACATCCTTAACACTTCTGGACATCTTCTTAAACACCTGCTTAGGTTTAGCTCCAATACAAGTCTAAGAGGTAACACCTGGGAAATGGAGACACAAAACAGCAGGACGGATTGTAGGCACAACTTCTACTTTCCAGAAGTTGTCAGATATTGGAATTCGCTGCCGGCTGAGCTAGTTCAAGCGACTTCCCAGGAATCCTTTAAGAGGAAACTTGACACACACTTAGGACTAAGGATAGTATCTTGCTATGATTTACCAACTTCTTTTTCCTTTTTATCGTTACTATACCTAGGTTCCTGCCTGGAGACATTGGCGTTCCACTGCTACTAGACACGGAAGTCCGTTAAGCGAAAGCTTCTATTCTGTCCACAACCATTCGAACCATTTTAAACATATAGCCCCAATCGCTTGTTGAGCGAGCTCCATACACCTGTATAAAATAACTGCATTTCACACCAAAAGTGACTCTTGCATCATCCTTTGTCGAAGCCCCATAACCCGGAAAGTTACGATTCTAAGGCCTCTTTCGTCAACATCTTATCTTTGCTGTGGTTATTTTTCAGTCTAACATTTTACATACAGCCAACGAGTGAAATGTCTTTGTGGACGAAATTTCCTTATCCCTTTGATCCATTCTGTAGTTCTGAGTCCTTCCTAATGTAAAATTTAAATGCCACCTTTTGCAGCCTCTTTTGACTTTTTCAGTTTCGTCCAGCTACTCATTCTGTCAACGTTTAACAAGTATAAAAGAGAAGGATTTTTGCATTAACAGTGGTTCAGTTAGATCATTTGTGACCCCGTTCATTCAAAGCGCAAACTGACACTCAACTGAGTATAGTTGCATCTACATATTTGAGCCTCCAAGTTCAAGGTCTCCACTGTTTAACCTTTTACCACGTCAATTTCACTTTGCCGGGTCGAACGAAGTTGTTGTCAAATTAGGCGTGCTTGTCATAATTCTCCTACTTTTCGATGGTGAGTCTTTCATTACTTCATGTCAAACTTTCTTCTGTCAGATGAATCCTCTTTTGTACAGGCCACCACCTAATCCACATTTTCCGATGATGCCATATTTACCTGGTCCTTTACCCCAGAGGCGTAAGTTCTGGTTTTGTTGGTACTACAAAATTAGGTGATATTCAAGAAGAGGAAGATTTGGCTAGTGTTGCCCTGCAAGTCCAGAAAAAACGATTTTATGTCGATGTCAAGAGAAATAGAAGAGGGATATTTATGAAAATCGCTGAGGTTTGGTATACTTTAAACGTGATGAGAAAGTAGGTCAGTTCCGACGGTCGGAAAGCCAGAATTCTTCTGACCCTGCAAGCTGCCGTAGAAATTAAAGATAAACTAAAGGATCTCATTGATGTCCTTGAAGAGATCAAGTCGAATGACGAAAGTTCAGGTGCCCAAAACTCAGATGCAAATAAAAATACAGATTCACAGCCCTCAAACAGCCTCATAAAGTCCCATATCGTCAACTATCCGTACAGACGCTATTTCCTTGACCTTAAACGCAACAGAAGAGGTCATTTTCTCCGTTTAACAATGCTGTCAACTTTGAACAGAATACAACTTGCTATTCCTTCTCAGGGCATGCTAGATTTGTATAATGCCATCAATGACATGCTGGGAAAATGGTGGGATGGTTCAGAAGCAAATGATAGCAAATGTATGTTTCGAAATTTTGTTTTACTCTTACCTCATATAAAGCTGTTAGTTTACCGGAGTCAAAGTCCCTAAGGTTTGACAATCGTACTTTGTACTTCGACTCCTCGTTCAATCGATTTGGAACTTACCTTCGTATTTCAGAAGTCCGAACAGCATCTAGAACTGCAATTACAATTCCAGGCCGTTCGCTCTCACGCTTCAGAGATATTATCAATGGACTAGCAGAAGATTTGTCGAACGTTAAGGTAACAATTTAACTGTTACTATCTAAATTCACAGGTCACCAAAAATGCTGAGGAGCAACCATCTAGTAATGAAACTCCCGATACTCCTGACAATTCTGAACCAAGTGAGCCCCTTGTAAATGGCGAAGTTTCGTGAGCTTCGCAACAACAAACTTCATCTCTTGTATTTGACTTCAATACCTTCAATGAGTAAAATGCACAATTATTATAAATATCTTCTCTGGTTCATTTGTTATTTTTCATCGACTCTGGAATTTGTTTGCCGACAGGTTGTCATCGGTACATGTTTTCTAACAATTAGCCGTAACTTCGTCGGTATTAGTCAATATTACCTATTTATTGTATTGTCTGAGGACACGAATATTTCATGTTTCAGTTTCGGGTTACCTCCGACTATTAGCTTACATTTAATAATTTCGATGTCCGAATGGCACAAATATTTCGAAATAGTTCTGTTATAATCGAAAGTCCAAGTGTTCGATTTGTTCTTGTTAGCTGATTCTCATATTCATGAACCCTTTGTCATCAAATACAGAGTAGCTTATCCACTTAAAGAATTACCTTCCAGCCGACACTAGCTGTCAGTCTAAGCTAGTTAATTATTCCTTGCTCTTCCTCGTTTTTCTTGCTGTAGCTCGAGTCCAACCTAAATTTCAATGCAAGATGCAATGTAGTTTTTCTGGTTATCGCGTATCGCTTTACTCTTAAAACTTTACAAGCGTGTCCGCAGTGAAAAAGCATAACAGGAAAGTACATAAACCATAAAAAGTTCTTTGCTCGTTCACAATTGATCAATTTAGACTTTATGATCGAATGACATCAGAATTGGAAATTTCAAATGATTTTCATTAGGGTGTTCTTTCGTCCCCTCTCATTTTTATTTAACCTAGTGACATGTTTTTATAGCTAACCCGCTTATCGTCTCGTCTATTATTTACTAATCTCATTACGCAATCGCCAATTTTATCATATGAAGATACTGGGTAACAGTTGATACCTGCTTGAGACGTGTTTTTTTCCTTCAAAATGTAAACTTTTTCCTCAGAGCTGTTCTGGTTCAACGCCAGTGTGGCCATTCGGGGTTAATTAACACGACGCAGATCGTTTTACTTATCATGTAAGTTTGTTTATCCCTAAGAAGTCGATTATTGACGAAGTTCCGGCAGGCAATATGTTCTATGGATCAAGTAAGCTGTCCACCTGCCTATCTTCTAGCTTATACAAGATACATCAATCCACTAGATTGTCTCGTAGTTGTGGCGCAGCACGTGACAGTGGGAGATAAGTAATTAATCACGTATAGGAAGCAGTGGTGACAATTGTTTGTAATGCTGGTTAGACAAAGGGTACTAGGTGAAGATGGCTAATTAGTTGATTAGGTCACTAACGGTCATCCAGTCGGCCTTCGAATAGGAAGTATCCTTTTCAATGACGTGGGTAGCTGTAAAGTCTAGCAAGATACGAGTTCACTCTGAATACTCAATCCTCTTCCTTAGTTTCTTGGTCTCGTTGAAATAGATATTTTTGATCTAATGTCTCGCTTATGCCGTTTGTACCTCTTCCGACACCTTAGATTTACGTATAAATGGGACTCATTTTTCCTAATCCTTGTACTCCATCGCCGGATTTAATGGAAATCTAATGAAGCTAACTACAAAGCAATGATTTTACAATTTCAAGGTTATTGGAAAAAGGTATATTTAGTTTTGTAGTTGCATTTGTACGAATTATCAATCTGCTACGGTTATCACCATAAAAAATATCCAGACTCGACAAATTAGTTTAAAAGGTAGCTTTACCAGTTGACCGCATGTTATTTTCAGTACCACTGACAACCATCCTGAATTATTTTAAGCTCAAGGGACAACTGCTTGAGGTCGGTCACACACGACGTTTATATGGGTAATTTTTGTGTTAGCTCCGTACTTGTTGAGACCTTACCGCCGGAGACGGATATCCGTGAGATAAGGCAAGGTGTGCAATTTTAGGGTCGACCTATTCTAACTCCACCCCTCCTTGTGGGAAGGCAGCATCGCTGTCATGCTGGTTGTCTGAAGGCAACACCTTACTGCTGTCACACCTCTGTACAATCAGCAGTACGACTTCGCCTTCGGACCTTAGGTTTGTTGCTTTTAGTTTTACCGCTCTTCAACCGACCTGTCTGACATGGTAGGACCTTGAGGAACGGTTGTTCCACCCAGTATAACTCGGTTGCTCGTCACGATAGACAAGCCCGACCACTCAGAAAACATCCATCTTTAAAATGCACAAATTTTGTTTATTTTTAAAGGGAAGTTCACAAGAATGGTGATGGAGTGAAAATAAAGTCATTGTAAGTGGTAAACTAAGTACCGAAAATGCAGTTCGAGAGGAACTGGTAAAATGAAGTATGTAAGTTTCACAAACCTCAAGATTTAACAGGAAGATAAAGAACTAATGCAAACGTGCCACCTTGAACGATTTTTAGTCTCACTACCTAAGGCCTCGAAATACAAATTATGATTTACTCGTAAATTGTGACCAAAATGTTTCCAGATAATGATATCCACTGATCGTTATCAAATATTGGTCTTGCTTAGGTTTTCTCATTGAATAAACAAGTGGTTTGTAATTAATACTGCTTAATAAAAGTTAAAACTTGACTAACTAAACAGCAAAGCTGATTTATTACAACGTAATAAAAACGTTTGAGTGAGTTTTCACTAATATGTTCGGAAATGTCAAACTACCGATCTACATGGCTGAAGCCAACTATTGTTTTTGTGTCACTAATTAATAATTTCCTAATCATACTTAAGGAATATTCGTCAAATAACAAAGAATTTTGCACGGTAATAGACTAGTTTAAGCTATCATTGCTTATTGACGATAAAATCAACCACGAAGTAAAACATGGGACTAATGAAAATATGGAAAATAAGTTTTGTAGATCTATTGGAAATCGGTGTTATGTTTTGATAACTCGATTAAACGGATCACTGGATATTTCTTCATTTCAAAAGTGACATTTACATTAAAACATTAATGTCCATTAGAAGACGAATCGTCTGAAGCGGAACAGCTTTGAGATATTCCTGACATCAGTGTATTTGGGTCAGTTTAGTTCTTATTGTGCCTCGAGCTGACAGTACATTATTCTTAACTGCAATTAGTACAATGATGACTTCTAACATAATCAAGAAGTGTAACTACCACATTCATTTTAGTTAATCCGATATGCTATCCCAGTAAGCTCTCGAAGGATCACTGATAGTTTCATTTCACCACAGAAGAAGTGAAGATTTGAAATACCTTCGCTAAAATGTCTCGTTTGGAGAGTACCAGATATATACCCTCGTAATTTGTATTACATTTGATAGTTTCAGCAATTATAACACTAATAAATAATCGAATGCATGTTGCGATTTTTGCTGGGACGAATTAGGGGGTCGCCATGTTAAAAGATGTTTTTCCTTATGCTTAAAGTTAGTATTTGCAAGGAACAGGTGGTTATCTGAGCATAGCTGCAACAGACGGTCGCCATTATCTGTTCTTTGAGCCACGACACCATAAGATCCACCTAGGTGTCTTTCCCTATCGCTTAGTTTACCTACTTGAGCATTAAAGTCACCGGCCACCAATACTACATCCGAGCGCTTAGCTTTTCGGAGAAGGTCGGAAAGCTTTCTGTAAAACTCATCTTTTACATCATCTGAGCTGCAGTCAGTGGGAGAATAGGCAGAGACGACGAAGAGGTAACGACGAGTGTCCCTATCTTTCCGGATTCTTACTGTTCCGTTCAGTCGGACAGTGCACAAACGACTGTCTACTGGGATCCAGTCTAAGAGAGCTAGTTCTGCCCTAGGACTCAATGCTATACCTACGCCGGCGAGGCCACGGGAAGCAGAATCAGTGCTCCCAGATACACGAAGCGTAAATCGAGTCGGTTCTTTATTTTGGCATGGTGAGGTCAAATGAATGACGCTACTTGGATCCTGTATGCGCGTTTCGGAGACGCAGCACACATCGATGGCGCGAGATTCTAAAGTTTTAGCTAAGGAAGCCTGCTGTCCTATTTGGCAAAGTGTTCGTACGTTAAAAGCTCCTACGTGTAGTTTAGAGCGTGGTTTCAGGAGACCAGGAATGGCGTTCCACGTACTCGAATCGTTTGCCCTAGAGGTGCGAGGTGATAAAGAGACGTGGGGAGGGTTAGTCGGGGAGATAAGAGAGGTATTAGAAGGTGTAGGAAAGATTTGAATGTGACCACCTTGGTCTCTTGTGCTGTTACGGGTATGAGGGCTGATATCACTTCCCGACTGCCCACACCGTGGAAGGGCATTTCTTGAGGAACCTGAAAAGGAAATTGGATTAGTGTTGGTCTTGACGACCTGGGAGCGTGACCGCAGAGCCCAAGGGACAACCGCTTGAGGCCGGTCGCGCACGGCCTTTTTGTGGAAGGTTTTTGACGTGTTAGCTCCGTTCTTCAAAGAGCCTTACCGCCGGAGACGGAAATCCGTGAGGTGTGACATTTTTAGGGTCGACCTTTTCTAACCCCACCCCTCCTTGTGGGAAGGCAGCATCGCTGTCATGCTGGATGTCCAAGGGAAACACCTTACTGCTGTCACACCCCTCTACAGTCAGCAGTACGACTTCGCCCTCAGACCTTGAGTTGCTGCTTTTAGTCTTACCGTTCACCAATCGACCTGCCTGGCATGGTAGAACCTGCAGGAACATATGTTCCAGCCAATATAGCTCGGTTGGGTCATCACGATAGGCAAGCCCGATCACCGCGTCAAGGTAGCAGCTTCGATAGGCGAGATATCCGTCTATCAACCAAAGGACGTGTTTACTGCGCAGCAGTTCGTTCCGTCCTACTTTATGGCAGTGAAACATGGCCGGTAAGAGTAGAGGACATCCGTAGGCTACTAGTATTTGATCATAGGTGTCTTCGAAACATTGCTCGTATATCATGGGACCATCGAGTAAGTAACACAGTTGTTAGGAAACGGGTACTAGTTAAGGATGGCAAATCAATTGATGAAGTAGTGAAACTTCATCAGTTGAGATGGCTGGGACACGTGTTACGTATGCCCAACGACCGACTGCCTCGACGTGCTATGTTCAGTGGTATAGGAGTAGGTTGGAGGAAAGCTAGGGGCGGCCAAACCAAAACATGGCACAAGTCCATGAAGTCACTGACAAGTGAACTGTAGACTACCTGGTTGGGGACCGCGAGATGATAGCAACCG